TTTTTTTCAAATCAAAATAGTGCAAAAGCACATGTCGAAAAAACACTTTATCGCGTTCCATTTTTCACAAAGCAAAAGAAATTGTTGTTTAGGAAAATAATTGTGTATGCTGACTGAATGTTATCGAGAAATGTCGAAATTAATCACAAACTACCTGTTTCGTTAGTAATGACTACTAGAACTGTTTGCATTGCCATCTAACATTTGCGGGCGGAAACTAAGTTAAGGTCCTAATATCTCGATTTTGTGTTCTACCATGATAAAAAGGATTTATGACTGGACGTAAAGCAACAAAAATTAAGACACTTGCCTGAGCGCCGTCGACTCTATCATACGCATCTCGATGGTCAGACTGCTGCCGGATGAAACGAAGCTCTCCCCCAGAGAACACGGGCGACTGGTATTCTGCAGGATAGCATGATCGCAGGTCTTCGGTACTTTATCCTTGCAATATCTCGCCAACAGCGTGGTGTTGCTCGCAGGTCGCGCAAGAACGGGTTGAATCGGATCGCCCATCCTCTCCGCGTAACGTTGGCGTTCCTTCTCGCTGAAGCAAGAGCGTTACATGGGATTTTTGGTTCCGTCCATGAATGTTGGTTGCTCCATTTAATAACGAAAACAATTGCTAAAACTACTGTCAGAATTTGGAATATTAAAAAATCACTCAGAAGAAACAAAATTGTTATAATAAACAATCGCTAAAACTTGGAAAATTAAGAAATTATTCAGATAAAATTATCATGATGAACAATTGCTGAAACTTGAAACCTTAAGAAATCACCAGGAAGAGACGTAAATTATTACGACAAACTCGAACATTAGAGCAGAGAAAACGACCTAAAGAGAAAACAGACGTTTAATCTCTATTTCGAAGATTGATAAGACGAACGAGAAGTCCAGGTCGAATGGACCCACGGCACTCACCAGATGACGTCGTTGCACTCGGACAACGGCATCATCTCGCCATCCCAGACCATCAGCGTGGTCGAGCAGTCTTCGTCCGTGCTGGATAAACTGGTGCCTACGTGGAACTTGAGGATGGACAGCCAAACGCGGAATTGCGGCTGCGGCGGTCTCGGTGCAGGTCGCCGCCAGACGGTGCCGGGTCGCTGTTCAGGAAATTTCGGCAAGGGTCGCGGCGGCGTGGGACTCGGCGGGGTCGGCCCGGAGCCGCGGAGATGGTACAGGCACGTGCTGTTCCTCGGCAGTGAGTGACGGGGCGACGCCAGGACGCCGCCGCCGGTGCCTCTCAGCCAGAACTCGCAGCGCTTATTCTTGGCGTAGGTGGGCGATTCGGCGTCGACGAACGTGACCTGGAAGCCGACGCGTTCTCGTGTTGCGTGCCGTGCTCTGACGGGGCGGGCTTCGTCGCCGAGCGATTCACCCCTCGACGGGGGGCCCGCAGGAGGAAGACGGGGTGAGAGAGCGAGCGGCTTTCATGCGGATTGCTCGGGCGATCGCGTGTTCCCGCTCCTATCTGATTCGAATGTATTCCGCTGCGGTGTGTCGTTAGGAAATTTTACGGGATAATGCGACCGCCACAGTGATATCGTTGCCTTCGCTCTACGAGCTCTCGTTGGATTTTATGCGCGATCAACGGGCCGAAACGAGTCCTCAGGCGGGTCTCGATTTTTGATTATGCATACGGCGAGATTGCGATGATTTGTCTGGGTTCTCGCTGAAGGGTCATCAGCGAATGTATATTCTTCGTTCACTCCAGTTCCGTACATTTCTCTCGTTTGTAACGATTATTCACATTGATATCGCGTATAATATTTATTACTCAATGAAAGAGAGAGAAGGCCAATGGTGATCGCGGTTGTTGATGATAACGCGCAAATTAATATTAATTAATTCCACCGGCTCATCTCAACTAATTAATTACGTAATTATATTTTTATATTTGTCAGTTATAAAATTAAAAAATATTTTTATTTATATATTAAGTTATTATTTCAGCCTTTTTATAAAAAAAATACATTTTTATAGAGAAATCTTTCTTTGCTGAATTCACCAGGATTCGACAGACACACCGAGGAGATAAAACTTCGATGAGAGATGCAATTTATTCTTTCTCTTTCTCCCTCTCTCTCTCTCTCTCTCTCTCTCTCTCTCCCTCCCTTTTCTCGCTGCGTATTACTTCTACGCATCTAAAGTGTTTAATTTTATAGGTGATTAGAGGAAGGGGGTTGCGGATAGGATGGGCGTTAATTAAGGTGGCCATTATGCAGTTTACGGTGAAAGCTCTCACGTACTTGCACTTCTAATTGGAACCCATGTAGAGAATGGGGCGGCGTCGGATGTAAGAAGGTGCCATAAGGGGAGGTAGTAAACTCCACGAGAATCTCCGGGCCGCTGCTGATGGCCTCCGGTACCGGCTCCCCGCCGCCGCAGAATTTCAGGATCACTGGCTCCCTGGTGGTGTATCCGTCATACACCGTTACGTAGTCCTGCAAAGACAAATTTCCCCGTCGCAACGAAGAATAGACGGGCTGAACTTCGCGAACCAAGTTTCCGCACGGTACGTTCTACGTCCTATAATCCGCACTGTCGACGTTTAATTCCTTAAATAAAGGCTCTGACACGCGAATGCTCCGGCTAATATGTAGCTTAAGCTTCAGACGAAAAGCTAATTGGACGACTCTGATGCTTATCGCGAAAACGCGGGAAGATTCAAGGGCTCGTTGAAATTAAGAGACGAAGTCAAGAGAGACCGCCGAAACAACTTCGCTCTCGCGTCGCTCTGATTAACACGTCTGTTGTAACATTGGTAACGCAACAGTAAGCGCAACATCAAGCTTGGTTAGATGTTAGACGACCGAAGGGAAAGAAAAGCACGTAAATAGGAAAGGAAGCCTTATCCAGGGTCGCCATTCGGAATAACAGCGTTAAATCACACCGTGATGGTCTGAACTTGTGCGGCTGCGTTTAATATTCTTCGATTCCTAGTCACGCCTAGCTCTTATATCTGTTTTCCTTTCTTTTTTCCGAGACAGCGTATTGTCTATTAACGCATGTAATGTTTTCCAACATTCCGAGCAATGCTCTCTTTTTTTTTCTTTTTTTGCTTGATGCGCCACCCCGGTGGAAATATCTCGCGATTTCGCTCGCTACCACGAAGAATGCGGCACTTAAAGAGTTTCCGTCGGCGGAGAGGAGATCGCTATGCAAGAGCAGGGCGGTTTACTTGGCAAACTGGTCACGTTGCTTCGCGACGGCCGTGCTCTCTTTCTGTCTCTTCCTCTTTCTCTTTCCGCCCCTTCGTCTTGGTCTCTGTCGCGAATTTATAACAGCTAATCCAATTTTCGCGGCGGCTTTACGTACCTGAACGACGTCGCAATCTTGCCAGAGACGCAGTTCCCGAGGTGGCGGCTCGGCTTGAGTAGCTGGTCGCGCCCTCACAGCTACCAATTGGCCTCGGGGTTGTTTTACGTGTATTAAGGCGTGCTTGCCCGCCGGCACTTCGTGCTGCCTCACCTATAAACCAGGTGCGAATCAGTCTATTTGCACTCACTCGGAACGCTCGCGTATACACACGGCTTTTTATCCCGACACTTAAACCTATTCCGTTACATATGTTCCGCGACGAATATGATTGGGGAATTCCTGTTGAAGAGAAAATAGCAGATGGCGACCATGCGAGATATAATTGCGTGTATTCGTGTACGGTGGCAGGAAACGAATTTCTATATTGTCAAAGTGTAAAACGATAAGCAAGCAACAGGCTAATGAGAGCCAAAATCAGATATTTTAATGAACTATTATTTAAGGTACGTGTGTTCGCTGAAGGTTCAAGTGAAAGGACCAAATCGTTCACTTAATATTGAGCTATATAATAAGTAATTTAGGATTTTTCAGATAAAATCAAACGATGCATATAAGATGCGTGTGAGATTATTATTACTAACATTATAGTAGAGTTTAATTTAAAGAGTGGTATTTTCTTGACTATAATTTATAATCACATTATTTTTTTATGTAATTATAGTTGCAAATATCAGAAATTTTTTTCTCATTGTAAACGAAAATTCGCTGAAAGAACAGCATTGAGTTTTTATTGGCCTATTTTTCACTCTTATATTTTTATAGAACATTTTGTTTATTACGTTCGCTACTAACGTTATGTATGTGTGACAGCAACAAAATCTGTTTCTATATCCTCACTGACAAATCAAATTTAATTTACGCAATTACGTAAACGAGGGAAAAACAAGCGTTGAAATTAGTTTTTTTGAGGAGAACACCTCAAATAAACCCTAGCAGCGACCGTGTTGGGACATCTTGTCTTCTTATTTCCATATTGTCGTTCACCTGTTTCGCGAATTGAGCCGGCGGGACGTGACGGATAGCCGAAATCAGCTCTTTCTCCTTCGGACATCGACGGCTTTACGATGCTGAGCGTGATAAAGACCAAGATGGCCGATGTCGTTGTTGCGAGATAAGCTCGCGCTAGAAATACACTGACGGAGATCGCGAGCTTCTCATTCGTAATCGAAGTCTATCTAGCGCAAGTCCCACGAGTGTGTCTCACCCGTCCGGTTGCGCGCGCGAGGAGAACAAACGACCGCCTCCGGCGTCGAAACGGCGAGCCGTAAATTTCCGCGGTGCCTTCACGTGTTTCGTCTATCGGCTCGAGGACGACCGGGGGCATCGAGCGCGGGCATGATTAGTTTCGCCGCGTCGATGAAATATGTTTACAGGATGCCGACATTATTACCGATCGCCCCCGGCCGTCGAGAAAACGCACGATGATGAACTGCGGCTCTCGTGCAAAAGCGCGCGTTTAAAGAGTTTACTCTCGCTTCAAGTGAACTGCTGAAAATTATACAAAAATTTCACTCACTTCAACACTTGTTGCGACAAAAACGCATTCGTAGTTAACGTTTCGTGAGAAATTTAACACTGGCGATCTTGCAACCTTATGGCAAGCAATACAGATGACTATTATTCCAGTATAGGTTCGTAAGAAGTGATGTCATCCAAACAAAAAACTTACCGTTATAAATGTTACATATCAGAAAACGAGGTACAGAAGAAAGAACAGTATTTACTGCACCAGAAAACTGCTGTTTAAGCTTTGAATAGCACGGTGCTGATTTAAACGTAGCAAGATAGTATCATGAAATTAGCTTGAAATCGACACTTATTATTTAGATAGAAAATAGATATGTAAAAACGTAATTTTCTTCGATAAATAGCGAATTTGTGAGCAGTCCTTTTGATGGAGTCCAGCGCCGCCGAAAATATACTTAAGCGCCCTACACACCTGGTGCATGAACTTCTTAGGCTTGAACAGAGCTGGCTGTTCAACGAGAAGGAAGTCTGCTGGGAAGAACAACGAGTGGGGGCAGACAAGCAAGGAATTTCGGAGGTTTCTCTTGTGCTCGACTCGATTCATGGTGGCGAGAAGAATCGCCGAGAGAATCGCCCTCCTGGTTTCTCGCTGATCGGGCTATCGCCGCCGGCGCGTCCACGTGACCTCGCACTTGGCCGGCGACCAACCGTACTGCGCGAGTGAAAAATTCTTCCGGTCAGAAAACCCCCGTCGGCCCGGCGCACGATGATTTACGTGACGAGGAGGCTCACGGCCGACTCGCACGGCTCTGCGAGATGCTAAGGGGAAATAATGGCCGCCGGAAGAGGACCGGCCGAAAATTTGTTAACCGCGCGCGCGAGGAAGCGTGCCATTTTTACGACTTCCGCCGCAGGTGTGTCTGCTTGAAACAGAAATATGAGCCGTGTCGGGGCCCCGTGGGGAGAGAGAAAGAGAGAAAGAGAGGGAGAATGAGAGGAGCCCCGTTGTCTGACTATGTCGATCGTATATCACTGCTTAGCGTCTGCTCGACGACGACGACGACGGGGCAAATTAATTCGGACCGATGATACATTATCCTAACGACGCCTGATACAGCGCTCCTTTCATGAGAGGCGCCTCTCCTTGCAGAAAACTCCACGGCCTTTCGTGAACGTATTATCTGCACGACGCTGAATATTTCCCCGTCTGATTAATATAGCACGTCGTCTTCGAGAATTCCGGCTTAAAATCATGTATGTGAGCGAAAGATCGTCGCGATTAACATCGTCCGGGATGGAACACGCCGAATTTCTCTGCAATTTTCCGCACGAATGGCGTACGTCCGGCGCGCCACTGGCATTCTGCGATATAAACCGCGCGCTTTTCACAGTTACGCGACCGGAATAAGGAAGAAAAAGAGTACACAACGCGCACGCACGTACACACACACATACATACATACAAACACGACAGACACACGCTTTGTCGTCGGTGGCAATTTAGGTGAGCCTTACCGCGTAATAGCAGGTGAGATTGCGGGGATAGAGCCCGGGGAAGTTAGGCGACTGCAATCTGCACTTCTTCCGGTCGCAGTCGGTGAATATACGGGAGCAATAAGTCCCGGATATTAGGTCCCCTAAGAACTGCTCCGAGCTCGGCTTCGTAGGTGGTGGCACGTGTTGCTCGACCATTTGCACCGGCATCGCCATGGACGTGTTCGCGTACTCGACGGACGTGCGCTCGGTCGACGCCGGCGTCCCGACGACCTGCGTTATTCCTGACCACGTGACGTTGGAATTTTAATCATCGACGGCTAGAGTATCGGCAAATTCTTTGTCCGCGCAATTTCAATGATCGCCGAGTCACGTCCATCTCGCCCCGCAATTTTGCCAAACCGGCAGTCCGAACGAGTCTGCTTTTGGGAGATTTAATTCGAACGTTATCGATATCAATCGATCGCGGCAGATTTCGGAAGAGTCGTACCATAGATGTTTTGTAATGATGAAAACGATAATACACATACAATTTTGATCCTCTTTTAATTATTGAGATTCTATCATGGAGAAAGTTGCTTGCGACCAACAATAGTTGTTCCGAATTCAATGTTGGGCGTTAATCGATGGTAATCTTCTTTGACTAAAATAATCGGCAAATCGATGATCAAATTTAACCAACCGTTATGTGTGCAATCACAAGTAATTTAATCTACTGACGAAATCAATTATTAATCGGTGTGTAACCAATCACATCCAAGTCTGATTAATAATTAGTTTCATCTGTCGTGATGGAATTGTTTGTGATTTTATACATGACGACTGATTAATTCTGATTATCGATTTGCCGATTATTTTAGTTAAGCAAGATTTTCATTGATTAATACCCAATAACCGCTGTCAAGCGGTTTTAGTTGTAAACTTCTCCTTTGAAATCATGGAGCGCAAGCAAGATATTTAATTGCAATTCTGATCGCAAGAAAACCTAGCTTTCTTCTAGACCAGAGCTCGGAATTAGTTTTTACGACGATCACGCGAAACTGAAAAAACTGAGTTTATGTGAAAAAAAGACAGAGAGAGAGAGAGAGAGAGAGAGAGAGAGAGAGAGAGAGAGAGAGAGAGAGAGGGATGGTGAACGGAAACGGAGCGGCCCATTTCGGCCGATTCTCGGGAGCTACGCCTTCCATCTTCCCGAAATGGGCAACTAATTCCGAGTTCTGTTCTAGACTGTCAATGACTAAGAGGACGCTAATAATTTGATGTTTTATCTTAATGTATTCATCAAATACGCGACAACGACGAGAAAGCTCGAGTTGAATTCCGTTCGAACAACGCTTATCGGAGATGTCTGACTCGTTTAGGAGGCGATCGAGTCGAGCTTACGGCAAAATCAGTGTAGGAAAGGTAAGCCGCACGAAGCTCTGGGGGGACAAATGTCGATCGTGTTACGAGGCACAAACTTCGACGGACGTGCTCGAAATTTGTAACCTGAGAGCTGATCACCTACCGACGAAGGGATTCCCGTAGCGCACCACCGCGTCCGATTTCCTGATCATCTTGTACGCCATCCTGAAGTCGAAGTTGAATCCCGTCTGATCTTTGCTGAGCCTGAGCAGCTTGAGGATGATAGAGACGCTGGGGGTCTCGCTGTAGTAGATCGCCGGTCCCCAGGATGTGCCGCACCAGAGACCGCCGACGTCCGGACGCTGCGCTTCCGAGATCTGCAACGACCCGTCCGGGCATCCTTCCGCGGTGAAGGACACGAATTTGCCCAGGGTGAAGCTGTCGAAGGTCAGCTGCAACCGAAAAACCGGCTGACTAACGGGGAGAAAAAGAAGGAAGAAAATGTCTTAATGGCCTTCAGCTCCGAATTGAACAATTTTATCGTTTACCGCATAGAAATTCCTCTAAATTTTCTCAGATGCAGCATAGATTCCGATTGAAATGCGTAAGTTTTATCCAAAATTGGTTATCCTACTATGATTCCTTAATTAGAAACTCCCTTCTGATCCCAAACATGGGTTCTCTTTCCAGAATCGAAACAAGAATACAATTCCTTCTTTTTTTCAGTTGGTAATGTCGGTGTACTTTCACGGTACCAAATAGGAAACTCCACTTTTATACTATTGCACTCTATCGATTTAACTATTGTGTTCAATGGAATAAAAAATAAAAAATAAAATATTTGTAAAATATTTTGAATATTTTACTAAATGAAATTTGCGAAGATCAACATATTTTATTCAATTCTAGCGTGAAATGAAAACCAGAGGAAATATGGAGAAAATTTTGAATTTTCTCACTCAGAGAGACAATCGCATATATGAAATATTATACTTCTAACTAGAAGCCATAATTGCTTTGGGAAATCGGATTGGATGCTATTTGGATTTCAAGATATTTTCTATGCGGGCATTTACTTATGAAACGAGTTATCATGTTCTGCGACGTTGGCAAAAATTGATTAGAGCGACGGAATTACAATAACCTAAATTTATAACCGTAATTTTGAATACCTAAACGTAGATTTCTAATTTTTCCATTCACCTGCTCGTCCCCATTTATCTTGCACGCGCGCGCGCGCATGGACATTTATCTCCCGATTTTCCCGATTGATTTGTTTCCCGCGTTTTTCGCATTTGCATCTTGTAACAAGATTTTAACGGGTGACGTCGAAAGTGAGTAGGTGAGCGGTGCTTTTTTTTTTATTGTTGGGGCTTCCGTTTCGCTCGGTTTCAGGCAAATAAATTCGCGTCGGCGTCATCGAGCATCGATCGAGCCGTCAGGAGTTGATGGTCGCGTGGTTTTTTGCCGTGAGAGGAACAGAGAGGAAGAGCCGGTCTGCGCGATTAAAGTATCGATGCTGTCCCGCTCCGGCAACGACAGCGACAGCTTACATGCATACAGTTTACGTGTATATACATGTATACATGTATACTGTCTCGCGAGTGACACGATCGAGCGCGATGTGAATTACATTAGTCGTCCCGTTCAAGATCACTTTGCAATTTCGGTCTTTTAAAAGTGCACCACTCCTCGTTCCAACGTGTCGGCTCAGGTGCTTCAATATTCCGTAAGCGCCGGAGATGGATTCATGAAACGTCAAATTGCTACTCGAGTACGAAGAAGGGGCGCTCGACTAGACGGACCGCGCGTTTTATATGTTGACTCCTCGCGAACTCCGCGGTCGGCTGCTGTATCTCGTATCTAGGTATATCACTGCGAATTTTAGCGCGGCTGTGGCCCCTTTGACGCGCGACACCGGTAAACATCTGCACACGGACTGCACCATCGACACCGTGCGAGAAATTCCCGTGACGCCGACTGTGCAGCTATGAGAAAGCCGGTAAACACTGCCGTGTAAATAATTCGATGGTGCGGCACCGGAGTTTCGGCGTGGAAAGTTCTCGCGCACGTTTCCGTTCTCCATCCTTCTCTCTCTCTCTGTCTCTCTCTCTCTCTCTCTCTCTCTCTCTCTCTCTCTCTGCCTTTTTTTCACGTAAACTCAGTTTTTTCAGTTTCGCGTGATCGTCGTAAAAATGCGCGGCGCTTATTAGAAATTCCGCTGTTAATTCCTCAGTCCGCCAAGTCGGACGGAAAATAACTAGCTTCGGTGGCGCGCGCATGTTCGCAGAAACAGACAATACTCTTTTGTTCCATACGAAAGTTCCGTGGGGGAAAGAGATGGAGAGAAAGGGGGAAGAGCAGGAAAGCGGGAGCGGATGTGTAATTTATTTAAAATTTCTCCAGCGAGAGAAACGCTTGATGCGGTGCCGCTCGTATTATGTCCCACTGTTTGCAAGAGAAATAATTGGAAATATAGCGGGCGAGCGCGCAACGAACTAATCGATACTTCCCCGTTTGTTGGTGGGGCCCATCGGCATCGTTAATGTGCGATTCGATAAAAACTTAGCTGTTCGGAATTTAATTTGCTACATAATCCAGACTCCGTTCTGTCTCCGGCGCGTTTCTTCGCGTCGAACTTCGTTTCACTTCGTTAATGCGCGCTTTAATTAAAGTCCGATTCCGTGGAGCGTAATTCACTGCGCATTCCCAATGGGCGTTTTTCTCAGTAGCCGGCGAATGAATGGAATCGACACGAGTTCGCTTCTTTGCGATAAATAATAACGTACAGTCGGCGTGCATACACACTGTCTGAATTTAAATACGGTGCTGGTTGTGCGTGCAGGTAGAGCGTATTAAATTAGAAAGAAAAATTCTGTACCATTTTTCATAAATGGCGCCTTTGTTATCAAGATATTGCAGATTAATTTGCAAATAGATCATCTTTATATAGATCATCTTTCGTTAAGAACGCAAAACTGAGACTCTGCATTGCAAATCCAAATTAAAGTTTCTCGTATTAATTTGTGCTTGAAAGGAAACACAAAAATCGATGTCTTTCGCGTTAACATGACTATACCGATCCGTCCTTATTTCACAGGAGAACGACTCCATGTCCATCGGGAGCGCGATAATTTCCTCTTTCCAACGGTTTTTGTTTCAGGTCGCTACGATGTCTACAAGCAGAGTTATTGACGTTTGTATCGATCGGCGCTCTAGATCAGCCGGCGTCACCCCTTTAACGGCTCTGGGGTAAGTCAGGATGAGACGTGTGAATGTAAACAATAGCTGCGTTCTGCAGCGCTATTTTGGGAAGCGATATCGCGCGCATCCCACTCCGCACCTTGACGAGGACGGTCACGTCACGCGTTCACTGCGGCCTTCACTTCACGAGCTTGGCGACCAACTGTCGTGGCGCTCAGTCTCAGAGCCGTCAACTTCACAAAACCCCTGCGGGGTTCTCTCTAAATCCTGAAAAATTCCTACTGCAATTAGCATTGTATCGTTGTAATTATAATAATATAAATGTGTTTTAGGGTAACGTAGATAGAAACATCACGTTTTTGTAGAAATAACACGCATAGAGAACGTTTTAGGAATCAGGGAGAATCCCGCTAGGTCTAAGGCCCATATCAGACTACGGATTAAGATTGAGATTGAATTGAAAATTGGCCAATCAGAGCAAAGTTCATCAAACTTGAGCTTAGTAAATTTTGCTCTGATTGACTAAATTTCAATTCAATCTTAATACTATAGTCTGATACGGGCTTTATGAAGCTGACAGCCCTAAGGCTAAGAGCCCCGCGACAGTCAATCGTTGGATCTGCTAAGCAGTGCTGCGAGTTCGAGTAACTTTTGGTGCGTTCGCTTTGGGCGTTTACGTGCTTAAGCGTCATTCTATCTTTATTGCTCATTACCTGCGGGAAAAAGATAGAATGACGCTTACGGCGCAAAGCGCCCAAAGCGAACGCACTAAAAGTTACCCGAATTTGCAGCACTACCGCTAAGTAATGGCACGCAGCGACTCGCTGTATCCACTTCACGACACAAAAAGCGTCGTCACTTCGATCATATGGTCGCTTTGGCCACGCGGGTGCTTTGATCATGTGGTCGTTCATCTGTCTTAAAGACAAGAACAGAATAATCACAAATATGGCGCGTGAATGCGAGAACAAGTGCCGTCGTTCACACTGGCGTTATGTCGAATCGAAAAATGCGGCTTTAAACGATTATAGCAAAGTCTGTAATAGAATTCGTTATACCAAATTCAACTTTCTGAAATTAGCAGCTTACAACAACACTGTCTATGTTTACAAAGTGCATCGATAATGCACGGAGAAAAATAATTTGCTGGCTCAGCAAATTTTCTGCTAGTTTAACAAAATCTTTCCGTTATTATATGGACAGCAAAAAGATTTGCTAGGAGTATTAATCACTAATTGCTGGATATAATTTGCTGAATCTACAAATTATTTTGCTATAAGAACCATGATGGATTTATATAAGCAGTTGCAGTTTTGTTCCGATGGCAAATAAATTTTCTAAGGATACATTATTTTGCATCGATAGCAAATTAATAACGTGATTCTTAGGATTCTTAGGAAATATACTCAACAAATTTTTTTATCCTGGCAGAAGTAGTTTCAACGAAACTACTTTTGCTTAGATAACGAATAATTTGTTAAATTAGTTACGTCAACTAAATTTTTTTGCTGTCATCACGAATATGCAGTAGCAACGACGATTTTGCTAAAAGAGCAAAATTATTTTTCTCCGTGAACTTTGAAGAGTATATACCGTAACGCGATAATTGATACATCTCAACCGCTCCTCTCACCTGCACTATATCACCGAAATCGTCACCTGGCGCGTTGAAGGTGAGCTTGCAAATGTAAGGCACCTTATCCTCCTTCGGTCGATGCAGCTCCAGGTCGTATGTCTTCCCCACGTCGCCGTAATACGTTTTATTGCAAGCTGTAACAGGAAACATTAAAACACCGTGATCTCACGTTCACGTTATCTTTAGTAAAAGAAGCGAACGTCTACCTCTGTCTCTATTTATTTTCGAGATTATTATCATGCCTCCTCTTTCGCCGTGGAATTTGCGAAGTTTATAATCAGTCGACAAAGAACTCGCCGTTTATCGGGAATTCATTCGATAGTACGAAACTACTGTTGCGATTTTGCGTCCGTACTGTCTAACATAAAACATCGGGGGATCGAGGAGATAGTGGAATGCGGTTTCTTCCGCGACTCAATGAATCGTATAACGAATGGCTGCCGTAAATATTGAACAGCCGTGCAAATAATTGTTGGTAGAAATTGAACCTCGTCGGGATGTGCTTCTAGCCACGAGATAATAAATTTACATCACTACTAGCCGGTAATGTAGCGCTCACTTTTAGTGGCTAGATAAATAAGTTAGCTAGTGATTAAACAAACGAAATTACACTTATGAAATAAAAAGCCATAAGTAGTTGCTAGCCACTAATACAACTAATAAACTCAATAGCTAGTGATTAAACAAACGAAATTACACTTATGAAATAAAAAGCCATAAGTAGTTGCTAGCCACTAATACAACTAATAAACTCAATTCTGCATTTTTTATTTTTTTATGAAATTAACGTAACTTCAATTTTGACTTGCTATCTAACTTTAAAACGCTACTAGCGATATAATAGCTAATATTTTAGAATAGACATCGCCACATACACATCTACTCTATTATATCTCATATATAATGGCTAGGCAACGGCTGAACCACAAAGTCAATTCTATATTTCACCGTATAATTAACCAGTAACGAATTAGTGTGTAACAAGCTGGAAAATTTAATGTGGCCTGTACTAGCTAGCTGGAATACTAGCTTTTGTGATTCAAGCCGACTAGTTACGTTTCTATTCGGGTACTCGCAGGGTATGTGCGATAGTCGTACGATCACGTCGATCGCGTACACTCGCAGATCGAATAATCTCTGCGTCGGTGGCTTTATGTTGTCTAACAGGCTAAAGTACGTTGTTCTGCAGTGGCTACCTGCCTTATCTTCCTAAAGACAGTTTCTTACCGCCTCGACAACACGCCGTCTCGCAGCCGTCCGTAAATTTTCTTTCGCGCGAATAGCATTTCTCAAGCGTGGAGAGAGCACTTCTCAGTGCCCGTGAAAAATCGTGTCCGTCGCGGGAAATTTATGGGGAATGATGAAGCCGGTCGAACACGCCTTCCATCCCCGCGAGATACTTCGCTATATCTTTATTTCGTAAAAAATGCTGCGCTCTTTAACTCTCTCTTGTCCACGGCGATGTATTATGATTATCGCACAGTTATCGTCTATATCTATGCGGATATTATATTGCGGAAAATTATTATTATTATAATCATTTTTCGGTGTATACAAGTTAAAAAACTTGTGTACAAATGTTAAAATTTTCACGTGTTACTCATTTTTTATTGTTATTTTAAAGTAAAATTAACGTATTACCGATATGATATTTATTTTCGTGATATTTTAATATTATTAATTATTATTATTAATTATTATTATATATATATATATTAATTATTATTATTATTATTAATATTTTAATATTATATTAATACCAACTTAATAATTTGTATGTTATTTAGTTGTCTCTTGTATGTTATTTAGAAATTAAATATTATTTTAAGTCCTATTATAACATAATTATTTAAAAAATAACATTTCTTAAAGTCACTTTAACATTGACAAGAATGAAGAAGCGAGTCTTCAGCAAAATGTCCCATCAACATTCTTTACGAGTTATTTTATAATTACTGTTTCATATACTTTTTTGCTATTTTTTATGTTATTTTTACAAAAGTTAAACCTAAAGTCGGAGTGACAAACATAAATGTAAAGAAAAAATCGGTGAGTGTCAATTAATTAACATTCCTAATTCATCGGTAAGTAACACACCACGAATGAGTTATTTTTACACGAAATTTAGAACGAACTTTTGGGACATGTTAGAAATGTTAAAATTAGTATTTAATTTTTTATCGTGTAACCATAATCCAGTATTCAATTACAACTTCTCGGGCATTTAACGAGACGACGTGTAAGCGGCTGTTAGATCCGCATTAATCATCTCTCAACGGCTCTTTTATCTTGATCTTTCACGTCGCGGTCCTGGCAATAAGTCATTATCCCGTTGGCCGTACTGGGGGCTCCGTTTTAGCTCTCTGCGGAATTAGTATTCTTACCGAACGGCCGCTGGAATTAACTCGATTACAGAGCACTCAATGTGATCACGAGATTAGAGACGACAGACTGAGATAAAGGGTCCATAAATTAATCGTAATAATTCATACATTTCTGCCGGAAGAAATCTCATTTAAAGTCGAGCAAATGCACGAAAGGGGTACGTGCACCTCGCTGCATGCAGCGGAGCGTTATGCGCACATATCTACGTGCATATGTGCTTTTCAATATCCCTCTCTGCTGTCGGCGACGAATTCGCGAAATATGCGCAACCGTTTCTCCGCGGCGAGCGCACCTGCGCGCCGAAGGTATCGCGAAAAATTCGCCGAATGCCGTAACCCAGCGGCGCGGTATTCCCGCCTCCTCATCAACCGCAGGCCGACTCCATCAGGGAGATTACGAGGAACGATCCCGGGAGGATCGTAGAACATGCCAAGATAAGGAATTGATGGAAGATGGTAATGAATTATCGATGACTCACGTCGTTTGTTTCGTGCCAGGCATTCCGGCTCGATGTTTCGGATGAGAAACGACGAGCGAGCGAGCGAGCGAGCGAGCGAGCGAGCGAACGAACGAACGAACGAACGAACGAACGAACGAACGAACGAACGAACGAACGAACGAACGAACGAACGAACGAACGAACGAACGTACATACGAAAAAGGCAGCGAACGAACGAACGAACGAACGAGGAAACGACGACCGCACAACCCTTCTCTGCCCTGTCCTGCCCTTCTTCATTCATGTTTAATGGCATCCGCACGGTGGGCCTGGAAAAACAGCGCTCGATCAAAGCCCGCAAATAGGACTTGCTACGGAGATCCCGATGAAAGGCGCACGCGATCGACGAACCGTGATATTTCTGGCGAACGAGCGCGCAGCAGAGATATATAAAGATTATTTATTTAAGGAGATTCGCGCGGGCCGCGCAAAGGACAGACCACAAATCTGTTCGAGTGCTTATCGATAATTCAACTGAGACGATTCTTCTTCCAGCTGGATTTGTTGATGCGTCGCCTGAGACGATCGCGTGTCGAGTCGCCAGGCACGCGTGTCTCGAGAGATTTCTTGCCATCCGAGAGCAGCAACACGTGGTGAATTCGCGGTGTCGCGCTTTAAGAAGCGCGAAGATGCTCCGGAATATATACAGCGTGTTTGACAATTGATGACACCCGTTGTGAGCGAGTAAAGCTTGTCAGATTGAACACAACGTTCCTCCTACCATCTCGCAAGCGGAAAATTTTGAATTATTGATTAAAGAAGATCGACGAATTATCAGACTCGATACAATGAACGGGCTGTAATGCTGACGTCTGCCTGTGCTTATACATTAGAATAAATTGAACAAAAAAACCCTCTACCATTTTACAAGTAACAAGTACTATTCAATCAATGAAAACGGCCCTGTGGTATCTCAAGACTATACACAGAGAATCAAAAAGGAATACACAGAGACAGATATCGTTCTGCTGCTGAGAGAAGCAATCACTCAATTCACTTTTCTTCTTCTAATCTTAAGTTATTTTAAGTCATTAGTAGTGAATGTTTTCTTGTGAATAGTAGTCTTGAAATACATGTTTTGGGTGAATTTATAACAGATTTGCAGGTACCAATTTATATACCAATTTATGGAATATTTGAAGGACGCAACATTTACTCGAATGCAGTATGTATTACTCACTTAATACTTTTTCGTATTAATACTTAACACAATCTTGAATGTGGGATTGGGCTGTGAATCTCCGGCCGAAAGAATCGCGACGTAATATCGGAAGCAGATAAATTCGACGAAATAATGAATGAGCGTTTTCTTGATAGAAAAGTTAATTATTTAGGGTATTCATTATGCAGCCAGTAGAGAGCTCAGTGTAATGTTCGTATAATATTCATCGAGGTCAAATTTTTTAAACTTTCATACGAATGTATGTTCGGACACGAGCGTCAGTTCGTTCAAAATTACAATAGATCGCGGAGCTCGTGGCACTAACCTAGTCTAAATCTTTATCGGGCGATTTCCCGATTTCTTCGGATCACCGCCATCTCTTTAAATTCCCCGCTAATACATTCTCGATGCTTTCTTCCTTCTCCTTTTTATCCTCAGAAGGATAAGCGCGATCCGAAGGAATTTCCCGTTCTTCGATATCACTCATCGACGAAGATGAACCCAAAGCTGCGACAAACAATGGCACATTTATTCAAGAGATTCTGTTAAAACTTCCTGGCTTTACGTTTGCAATTGTTGAGCGATTAAACTACGTGCAAAATCAATTCAACTTTTATTTTTCTCGACGTGAGATCGATGAGCTCGCTCCAGCGATGTCGACTTCTTCTTAACCGCCTTCTCCCACCCCCTCACGTCTCCCGCGAGTACTCGTCTCTCGGGGGTTGTTACCACCCCGCTTTGGGAGCCACTGTTCCAAACCGCTCGCGCAACTTGTTCACGATTCCCATCGATTAGACGAATCGGGAATGTGCTCGTCGAACGCGGCCTGCTTTGGCTTCCCATCGTGAGACCCACGCGGAATTACCCCCTAGTTTCGGTTGGTTACACACCGAACTATTGTAAGGCTTCAAGGGCTCATTGTGGATGTATAGCACTGGAAATCAAGGGTTCGTTGGATAGACGAGCACGCCGCAGAAGCAAATGGTTCTCTCTCTCTCTCTCTCTTGCCGTCCCTGCTGTCCTCCCCACCCATTCTCCCTGGCATGCACACACACGAACAATACGCGCCGTTTCCAGGCATCGGGTCA